CCATATATTAGACTAGAGAGCATTCACACTCCACATCAGACAGCAAAATCAATAACAGACCTTGTGTTAATAGCTCAGCAGTCTGCCTTTTTTATGTTTTATTTCACTTATAAGCTGAAATCCTTCTCTCAGTCAAAATTGCCCCAAACCAAAAACGCCAGACTTGGAAACCCAGTGGGCAAAAGGCTCTTGACATTACTTTTGGATATCTGGGGAAGAGGGCTGAAGAATTGGTACTTTAGCAAATAATACCCTTCCTGGAAACATGCAATTTTTTTAAAGAGTATATTTCACTCACCATAATTTGTGTCAAGGGCAACTCACAGGTGACATGAGTTTGTTTGTTTTTTAAAGAGTGGGAAATGTGAGTAAGTGATGGCCTACATATTTGGCATTATTTTCTTCTTTTAGACTGCAATAATATATATTGTTCTTGTGCAGAGCTGAACTGAGACAACCTAAAGCCCTTATATCACAGCTTGCCATGGAGGGCTGGGGGGGGGGAGAAAGAAAAACAAAGGGTTCCCCCAGTCTGTGTAACCTAATCACTGGTGGAGGAAGGGGTGTGTGGTGGATGTGGTCTGCCCCAGGTGCCTTTCCTAAGGGGGGTGACATCACCATGCCACCCCCCTGGGATGCTCAACGCTTGCCGTGTCGCTGGGTGCACAGCATGTACACCTCTCTGGGTGCTGGATCAGCTAGCTCCACCTCGGTGCGCTGGGTGCTTTATCTGAAAGAGACTTTGGGATATAATACAAGTTTGCACTGAATGCATAGAATCATACCCTCCAACATTTATCCGATGAAAACAGGGATGTCCCATTCCATAATAATAATTTTACTATTTATACCCCATACATTTTACTAGACTAGCCCCACCACTCTGGGCAGCTTCCAACATATTTAAAAACATAATAAAACATTAAACATTAGTGGGGAAAACCTTCCCTATACAGGATTGCCTTCAGACAGCTCAGGGGCCAGATAAATCCATACCCTCCAACATTTTTCCAATGAAAATAGGGACATCCTAAGGAAAAGTGGGACATTCTGGGATCAAATCGGAAACCAGGACAGCTTCTCTAAATCAGGGACATCCCTGGAAAATAGGGACACTTGGAGGGTCTATAGAATTTGCTCATTTCAAGATGTTCTTATCTAGAACACTGTCACAATATTTCTGCCAGGACACACCTAGCAAAGCATTTCTGGGACTCCTTGGTAAAGGAAGTCTTATGAGATGACAAAGAAGGACCTCAGAGGATACCACAGGAAATGTATGACAAGGCTGATTTTGGGAACACCAGAAGTATTTTTCCAGGAAGCAAGATGTTCACACATACTCCCAGAAGTGTGCAGAAGCAATCTGACAATTTGGCACCTGGTGTTTACAAGATGTGCTAATGATTTCCCCATCACAGATCGCTTTAATTGTATACAAAAGCAAGTCTGTTCTGTACCTGCCTGGCAATCCAGGAGTACTTATTTAAAATGCTCTTCATAATCTGTTTCAAAGCTTCCTCTAATTAATCTGAAAGCATGGAGCATATTCAGCAGACTTAAAGAGCTGGGTGGAGGAAATGCCCCAACAGAAATTAAGAGACAGGTTGAGTTCACATTGTACTGGTCTTCCAACGAGTACATACCGGTATTTTGTCTCCTTTCTAGTAGAGAGTCCATGTGTAAGGTCTTTGCTAGATGTGATGGCACAGGTGGTGAGTCATGCTATTTATTCAAGAGGAGAAGATGGAAAGATAGAAAAGTGTGTTTGCATGTTACCACAAAATAATATCAGCACGATCCATTCCTCCTTCTGCATGAACTCTGGATAGGGGAGGTGTTCTGCCAAAAGTTTTGTTTGCCAAGGCAGTAGTTCTTTTGGATTCTGCTCCTGGAGAACCCTTAGAAACAGCAGTGAATGATTCCACCCAGAGCTGGCTGATGCCCAGCAACCTCTCGAGATATTCTGATCTATGCTGGATTCTCCCTGACAGCATCCCCAGCTGTCATATTTATAGTCTGTATCCTGCTGAGTTAGCTAACTGGTGCATTACTTAGGCCAATGTGAGAGGCCTCTGGGATTCTCCCATAAGGATAAAAGGGATGGATCATGAGGCTGTAGCTGTAGCTGTAGTCTCATGACCCTGCCTCTCAAGGTCACAGCATGTGACTTCACCCAAGTGGTATCTAGGAAAGAACAATCTATTAATCAGGGGTTGTTTTGTCTACTGTACATTCGCATAATAAGTGCTGAGTCTAGTGGAATATAATTAATGTTCTCACAACTCAAGCCCACACTGTTTAACTTCAAGCAAATGCTAAGTCCAGGCCTATGTCAGGCACCTTTGAGGGCATCAAAGGGGGTAATTGCTGCACATCTTTCCTAATTCCTCATAATACAAAGGTCTTCTGGATATGACCCAAAACAGGATGAGAACCTCACAATGGATCCTTCATTTGAAATCCGTGTTGTCTCTGAGAACTAAATTTAACATACATGTCAGAGAAAAGCATTATGAACAACTTTGTATCCAACTAAATCGTTGTGCAAACAGAATGACTTCAACTCACACAACAGAACTTCCCCTCCCTCTCCTTCCCTTGGACAACCCTCAAATCTCCTGGGACCTTGTAACCAGGATTGTAAACAGGGTCGTTTGCAAGAGCGTTTTGAGGGGGAGGCCTGGAGTGCTGTCTCCACAAGATATGGAAAGCAAGGGAGCTGCTGCAGTGACTTGCAAGTCCTGTGCCATGTTTGTCTTCCTGCCTAAGAATGTCCAAAGCTACACCTGCAGGAAATGCAAGCTGGTTGCATCGTTGGAAGAGAAGGTACAGCAACTGGATGCTACTGGGAATCTCTCAATAAAGCCAAGTGGACTGTCCTGGTACAGCGGCACAGGTGGCATGCCCCTGGGGAGGAGGAAGCTCGCTTGCAGAAGACGAATGCTTGGAGGAACATGACACACATAAGCAGGATTGTGAAGAGCCATGCCATGTCACTGGAGCTGCAAAATTGATTCCATTACCACTTCTTTTATCATGCACCGCTCAGCAGCTGATGCATCTCTCATTAGTCCTACACAAAAGCAGACCTAGTTTTCAAGTGACAAGCAAAGAAGGTAGTTCCAATTACATTTATACCAATCAATGTATCTAATGGCCATTAGGCTGTATTGTAAGCATCTGTAAATATTTCAGCCTTATATCCCATGGAGGCTGAACATTTTACTTTGCTTTCCTTTAAGCACCCACAAGAAAAAGATAAGAGAGCATTTTAGTGCTGAAAGCCTGATTCACAGCATATTCAATAAAGCCATTTCTTACCTCTACAAATTGAGTAGAATCAAAGCTGAAAGACTTTTTTTAAATGGAGGGTGTTGTCTTTTCCCCAGTGATCAATCAATAATATTTTTAAAATTAAAAAGCTCAAGCCCATTTTTCAGCTCTGGGTGTATTGAGCTGATATCTGCTGCTTTGTTCTATTAAGATTCTCATCATATATTAGCTGTGAGGGAGGCACTTTTCTTCCCCATGTGACTGAAGAACTAGTTAAATTAATAATAAGGCATAGATTACCACAGAGAGGACATAGTAAAGGCACAAAAGCAATTGCTTTAGGATAGATTCAGACGGCTACTAGCTATAAGATGACTTCCTGTGGGGAGTTCTATCATGTAGCTGAACCCTGCAGAAAGGGTTCAGCTACATCACTACCCATCACTTATGGGTGATTAATTACAAGCTTACTGGACGAGCTTGACTTATGATGCTGGAGGAGACTCTTGAGAGTCCCATGGACTACAAGAAGATCAAACATATTCATTCTTAAGGAAATCAGCTCTGAGTGCTCACTGGAAGGACAGATCGTGAAGCTGAGGCTCCAATACTTTGGCCACCTCATGAGAAGAGAAGACTCCCTGGAAAAAACCCTGATGTTGGGAAAGATTGAGGGCACAAGAAGAAGGGGACGACAGAGGATGAGATGGTTGGACAGTGTTCTCAAAGCTACAAACATGAGTCTGACCAAACTGCGGGAGGCAGTGGAAGACAGGAGTGCCTGGCGTGCTCTGGTCCATGGGGTCACGAAGAGTCGGACACGACTAAACGACTAAACAACAACAACAACTGGACGAGCAGTGTGACCAAGTTCCCCACAGGGAACTAGATTGAGCAGTCAATTCCTGCAAAAACCAGCTGGCTGTCAGGGACTTGGGAAATGCTATGCAAGGGACTTCGACAGGTGGGTGGGATAACCCACCTGTCAATCATCTGATCTCATAATGACACCAGGTGACTGACAGTGGCATGTCCCATCCCGTGTTGGAACACTTGGGTAGAGACTGATAAGGATCTAGCCCAGGCTTCCTTGACCTCGGCCCGCCAGATGTTTTGAGACTACAATTCCCATCATCCCTGACCACTGGTCCTGCTAGCTAGGGATCATGGGAGTTGTAGGCCAAAAACATCTGGAGGGCTGAGGTTGAGGAAGCCTGATCTAGCCTGTCTGTCCTGAAATGTTCCCCACCCCTGGCCTAGAAGGATGTTATAGTTGATAGTATTGACAGCCATTGAGAGATCATGTGGAATCCAACAAAGGCAGAATCCCCTCTCCCAGCACAGATTTTCCTTCAGACCAGCTGAGGCAGTTTGAGTTCAAAATCCAAGGCAGGATAATGATTGGGATGGAGCTAAATAATTGGCTTCATCCATGACCCTCTGGATCTGTGAGGAGACTGTACATACAGATAGAAAGCATTGCCCAAATACAGAAGATTTGATGCAGCAATTGTTGTTGAGGTCAGCCAGGTCTAAGATTAATTTATTCATCAGCGGTTTCACCATAGCTTCTCTAAAAGCTGTGGAGCCAACTCCTCTGTCAGTGAAACATTGTTTGTCTCCAAGCAATCTGTTTCAGAATCTTTGGGCAGTCTGTTTCAGAATCTTTGATTACAGTGAACAATGACTGAGCATAAATGAAGCCAATCTCTTTTTTTTTTTTTAAATGATATTTATTAAAGTTTCACAAAAATACAGAAAACAAAGAAAAAAGTATAAATTACAGCAAAAAAGTAAAAAGTAAGAAAAAACATACAAAATAAAACAGTTAAAAACACAATAATGTTCCATAACCTATCTTCCTTACTCTTATTTCCCCAGACCTCCTCATACCTCCCTTCTTTGTATTCCAATTCAGTTTGTTGGTTCAGCAAATCCTTACCATTAATCTTTTACCCAATTGTTAACCTTTTTTTTCATGTCTCTTAAAGCATTACAGCTAAAAACCTCTTAATTTCTATCCAACATCCTTCTAAAGTTCCTTAATTTTACAATATTTCTGTAAATAGTCCTTAAATTTTTTCCAGTCTTCTTTCACCGACTCTTCTCCCTGGTCTCGGATTCTGCCAGTCATTTCCGCCAATTCCATGTAGTCAATCACCTTCATCTGCCATTCTTCCAAAGTGGGTAGATCTTGTGTCTTCCAATACTTTGCGATAAGTATTCTTGCTGCTGTTGTAGCATACATGAAAAAGGTTCTGTCCTTCTTTGGCACCAGTTGGCCGACAATGCCCAAGAGAAAGGCCTCTGGTTTCTTCAGAAAGGTATATTTAAATACCTTTTTCAGTTCATTATATATCATTTCCCAGAAAGCCTTAATCTTTGGGCACGTCCACCAAAGGTGAAAGAATGTACCTTCAGTTTCTTTACATTTCCAACATTTATTATCGGGCAAATGATAAATTTTTGCAAGCTTGACTGGGGTCATGTACCACCTGTATATCATTTTCATAATATTCTCTCTTAAGGCATTACATGCCGTAAACTTCATACCTGTGGTCCATAACTGTTCCCAGTCAGCGAACATAATGTTATGTCCAACATCTTGTGCCCATTTAATCATAGCAGATTTCACCGTTTCATCCTGAGTATTCCATTTCAACAGCAAGTTATACATTCTTGACAAATTTTTAGTTTTGGGTTCTAACAATTCTGTTTCTAATTTTGACTTTTCCACTTGGAAGCCTATTTTCTTATCCAAGTTATATGCCTCCATTATCTGATAGTAGTGGAGCCAATCTCTCACTTTATTTTTTAATTTTTCAAAACTCTGCAGTCTCAATTTATCTCCTTCTTGCTCCAAAATTTCCCAATATGTCGGCCATTTGGCCTCCATATTGAGCCTTTTCAGAGCTTTTGCTTCCATTGGTGACAGCCACCTTGGGGTTTTATTTTCCAATAAGTCTTTGTATCTTATCCAGACATTAAACAATGCTTTCCTAACAATATGATTTTTGAATGCTTTGTGTGCTTTGACCTTATCATACCATAAATATGCATGCCATCCAAATACATTGTTAAAACCTTCTAAATCCAAAATGTCTGTGTTTTCAAGAAGTAGCCATTCTTTCAGCCAGCAAAAGCTGCTGATTCATAATAAAGTTTAAGGTCTGGCAGGGCAAATCCACCTCTTTCCTTGGCGTCAGTTAATATCTTAAATTTTATTCTGGGCTTCTTGCCCTGCCAGACAAATCTAGAAATATCTCTCTGCCACTTCTTGAAACAGTCCATCTTATCTACAATTTGTAATGTCTGAAACAAAAACAACATTCTAGGCAATACATTCATCTTTATCACAGCAATACGGCCCAGCAACGAGAGTTTCAAATTTGACCAAATTTCTAAATCTTTTTCACTTCCGTCCAACATTTTTCGTAATTATCTTTAAATAAGTTCCCATTTTTGGCTGTCATATTAATCCCCAAGTATTTCACTTTCTTTACCACATTCAATCCTGTCTCATTCTGAAACCTCTCTCTTTCAATCGGTGTTAAGTTTTTATCTAAAACCTTAGTTTTTAACTTGTTCAATTTAAAACCTGCCACCTGACCAAATTCCTGAATTAATTCTAAAACTCTTTTAGTACTAGATTCTGGCTCCTGTAACGTCAATACTAGGTCATCTGCAAATGCTCTCAATTTGTACTGTTTAGCTCCGACCTGTATGATAAATGAAGCCAATCTCACTTCTATAGGGATTCTATACAAAAATATCAACAAACCAAGGAACAACAGAAGTTGAGAGACAACTGAATCTTCTTCCAAGTAGATTTCTATATTTCTACTACTAACATTTCTGACTGTTCTCTGTATTCTGAAAAAAAAAGTTTTAAAGAATGAAAACCCTTTCATTATTTAAAGAATGAAAAATAGCAGAAGCTTGAACTTAGCAAAAATGCAGCCAGAAGTACTGATGGCACACACGAAATACAAATGCTCCCCTCCCACCTTTTTGAACTTCGCCCTTTTGAACTGAAACTGACTAAACCAACGAGCTCATGTAAATGACGCAAAATGTTGCAGAGGAAAAGGGCAACTTGTCCTTTTCCATTACTTCTGCTCAACTGACAAGTGCATCTATGAATTTTGTTCTATTGTGCCATTGAACTATTGACAGGAGAGTTCTGTCGTCTCCTTTGGAAGCAGGTGCCACTTGTTCTATACACTTCCTCCTTTTCATATAGTGTTTCTTCGTCATTGTGAAGTTCAGTCTCTCACATGTGTCACCTCCCCCCCCGCCCCCTCGGAGTTGAGAGCTCTGAGAGGGTTGAGAGACACTTAGCCACGAAACCAAAAGCTGTGCTGAACAAGAGAGCTCCATAGGTGGAAGCAAAAAGCAGGAAATCTTTTCTATAGGCAAAATTAGTGTGGAGTCAAGGTATCCCTTTTCCTTTTATCTCATTTGCAGGGTATGTTGAGTCATTGGCAGTGTGCATGTCATACATTTAAAGCACATTCTTCCCCCCCCCCCACCCTCCCCACTACTTCATGGAGCTAAAATTCCCAGCACCCCTAACAAACTACAGGGTATGAGGTTGGAAGAAGAAAGAGAAGCTCCCAGATGGGAGCTGGGAGGGGTCACCTTTCTCTGTGTTGGTCAAGTTAAGATTTACCTGCGAAATAGGACTTTGTATGCTTCTTCTGCTTCTTCGTTTTTCTTTCTGTTTAGATTAGAGCGGTTTTTTATTATAATTATCAATAAAATCTTATAACTAAAAACAGGAAAAAACAGAAACAGCCATCATTAAGAAAGCAATTAAACACTGATAGAATTAAAACTATATATATTCTTAAAAAAATAATACAGTATGGCCTCACCTCAAAAAGGATATTGTAGAGTTCAGAAAAACTGAGAAAAGGGCAACCAAGGGAAGACATGATAGAGATCTAGAAAATTATGGCTCTCAGATAATACTAAAACTAGGGTACATCCAGCAAAGCTGAATGTCAGAAGATTCTAGACAAACAAAAAATGATTTCCTCACTCAGAACCTAGGGAGACTATGTGATTTGCTCCTATAAGAGGTAGTGGTGGGTCTACCTCCACGGTTGGAGGCAGTATGCCTCTGAATACAATTTGCTGAGGATTACAAGTAGGGAGAATTGCTGTTGCACTCATGCCTGGCTTGCAGGCTCCCCACAGGAATCTAATTGGCCACTATGAGAACAAGAAGCTGGGATAGTTGGGTATTTGGTATTCCAGCAGGGCTCTTCTTATGTTCTGATATTAACCGCATCTTTTGGTGATCCTTTACTATCTTATCAGATCTTCTGGGTGGCTGAATTATTTTTCTTGAGTGTATTCCCACAAGAGGGGAGAGAGCCATGAAGCGTACAGAAGATTACAGACACAATACATTCAGCAATTACTTTTTCTTTCCAAATATAGACACTAGACTATCCAGAAGCTCGCTTCTCTTTTTTTGTCTCCTTTTAGGCTCATTCCAAACTGTAAACTAACACGTAGTGATGTGAAATGTTTATCAATCCATCACAAAATAAGATTATAAATGTTTGGATTAAAGAAAACTATAAAACATTATTTCAGCACTTGTTTCAGATATTCCTTCCTTTCAGAAAATGATCTTGAGTTACCAGAAATACTGTGCGTTCATAAATTCAGTTAGAAAATGCTGCCAGACTCATTTCACAATAAGCTAGTGTTGGAATACCAGTTGAATTTCTTTTACTCGCCACTACCCTGCAGTGAATTTCAGTGGCTGCTTTGTGGGGGTTTTTAATGCAACATGCTGCAACTATTTATTTTACTGGTGAATTTTAAACAAATTATTTTCACTCACCGAATGATGCTAATAAGGCTCAGAGTGTCTCTGAAGAGAGCAGAATGCTTATCAAGAAAAGTTTGTGGTGAGAATAAGCATCTTTAGTTCACACAGTTCTGTAATGGTGCATCATAGTGATGACCAGATAACTCCATCTGACTCTATATTCTTGTTACATTGTTTTGAGTGTTTTGCAGTGTCATTGGCGTGTTGCTTTGTTATTGGTGTGTGTTCACAATATTGCCATGGATGCTGCGTCCAGCAATCAGCCATGCCAGACACTAACCGAGGGCCCCAGTGGCTTGGCTATGCCACCTTACAAGCCTTCTTGTCCGGCCTCTGGACAGCCCTTTTAATGCTGGGCTGATGGTGGTACCACCTTTGAATGAATGGGAGACAAGCTCAGCTCCCATTCAGTTAATTTGTTTCCAGTAGACCAATATATCCGAGTTCCTGTTTCTATGAATTCTGCGAATTGTCACCTTTATAACAAAAACAAGAAACAAACCTAGTCAACAGACTGAGAAAGTAGTTTAACTTTTGTTAGATCATGTTCATTCTAATAACTTTTGCCAAATCATAGTTTCTACAACACAGACTTCCCCTAATGAGTATCCATTATGAATGGTCTTTGTGGATTATTAGCCCAATAAGTGGTTCAATAATTCCAACTGAGAAAAAGTAGCCTTCTGTAGTGAGCAATGAGCAACATGAGTCAATTTCCCCACTGCTAATATTTGAATCAGCGGAAGGATTTATCTCAGGACTGCAGCAAGGGAGAAAAGAGTTAAATTCCCTCTCTGTGCCTTCCCAAATGCTGTTGATTATCAGCCTGCCTTCTGGCCCCAAGCTGGTGCAATTTGAATTTTCAAAAAGTCTCCACTAAATGCAAAAAGGTGTCCAGCAGTCCACCTTTACACTTGAGAGACAATTTATCACAGAGGGGTGAATGCTGGCAGAGGAAATGTTATATGTCATGCTATTCATAATTATCCTGATGAGGTATTTGAGAAGGGAAAATCAAAGTGAGCATCCCTGATGAGTCTCAATTTCCTAGACTAGCATTGCAGCTCAAGAGGAGGAAGCAATTTACAACAGAGAGTGAGTAAGAAAGCCCTCCCCATATATAAGACTATATAAGACTATATAGCCCAAGGACAAAACTTGTTAGCCTGAAAAATCAAAACTAGTTTCAAATTTGATGGATGAGAAAAATCAGAGCTGCAAAAAGTAAGCAACAAAATGCTTCACATCTAAATTCTGAGATCTCATATAAATTTTGTTCTTTGGCTACATCAATAGATTTTCTGCATATACTGTAGTAATTGTACATCACAGCTATTTTACCCATGCAAACTGCATTATAACTATACCAGTGGGCTGGCGTGGGTGGGTGGATCAACGGACGCAGCTGGAGGAAATACAATCAGTGGGCCAACAAGCCAGTAGATTAATGAAAATTGAATGGACTGGGGACTTTTTGGTTTTGTTCATAGTTTTATGGAAAGACAGTATGATATAGTTTAATCTCAAACTAAATGGCCCCAGTAACTAGGACCCCCCCCCATGAAAACACACATCCCCATGCCCAGCACCCAGTCATCTTAATAACCAATGGCATCTTCTGTTTTACTCCTTGCAATTATTTCTGCTCAGAGGAAAGGACATCTTAATAATTCAGAGCACATACAAAGAAAGACACAAGAACTAGTGTTAATAATTCATTATGATAGAATTTTAATACAGAGCTTAATAATAATCATAATAAAAATGAAGTACATAATTTGTCAGAGATGTCAGTGTGGTCATCAGAGATCATTTCAAGTTATATTATTCCAATGGAAAGCCCATACCTATGCATATATACAAACTGGGGTTTATAATGATTGCTTTTTAGCTGCTTTTGGGGGGGTATTCTTATTTATTATCATTTCAAAAGTCAATAAGTAGCAATTCCTCTTCCCTGTTGCCCCTAAGAATCCTCCTTTTAAAATAGTTTCAACCAAGAGCCTCTAGCGTGTGTGTGTGATTTATAGCTACCATTAATAACATGAGTCTATAACTCTATGACACAATCCTGGATTCCAGCTGCCCACCCTCAGC